ATTGTTATCATGATAATTATGATTATTATGATTATCATCAGCATCATTATTATCACTATTATTATTATATCTAACTTTTTTTTTAGTGGGATTCTTTTTTTATCAAATCAAAACTAATTATTGTTGACTCAATTGCTTCCCTCATTACACCAATTCTTGGTGGTCAGCAGTTCAAGGGTAAGATTTTAGTAAATGTTTTTAGTAAATGTTATTTTAAGTGATTTTGTGTATAAAAGTTTTGCATTTTCATCAGAATTAGGAGTAATAGAGGTCCATAAAGTATGCATATAGTTAAAGGGGTAAAGTGGTCAAATGAAAACATGTGTGCATAAGGAAGGGGGCATATAAAAAGTACTTAAAAAAGAAAAAAAAAATTGTTTCTAGATATAATTTTTTTTATTTAAAATTTACAAATTTTCAAACATGTTCAGAAGAGAAATGTTTAGATATTTAGTTTTATATTTGTGTTGTAGGTATTTGCATTGTTACTTTAAAGAACTTTTCTGAACAATTTTCTTTAGGTTTTTTTTTTTTGCATTCATTTTTATATTTATTTAGTTTAGTCAATTTTTATAATAATTTGTTTAAATATCACATGTGAAATGATATTATTTCACATGTGACATGAATATTCTAGGCTAAAATATATTAACAATTTTAGCACCTTAAACAAAGATGAAATGGTCAACCTTTGTTTCTATATAGTCTGTCAAAAGTAATTTAAAAAAAAATTATAAACTAAAGAATTTTTAAAAAAATATTTATCATTAATATTTCTTATTTTTATATTCAAAAATTAAATTTGATTAGTTGACCTTTAAAAGGCCATAGACTGGAACAGGTTGAGTAAAATAAGAAATGCATGGTTGAATATATATATATATATATATATATATATATATATATATATATATATATATATATATATATATATATATATATATATATATATATATATATATATATATATATATATATATATAAATGATAATATATATATATATGATAATATATATATATATATATATATATATATATATATATATATATATATATATATATATATATATATATATATATATATATATATATATATATATTATCATATCAATGGATGAATTTCCATCCATTTAAATATTGCACTTGCATTGTTTTCTACTAAAAATTCTAGGATGCTGTTTTTCATCTTGCTGTTGTTAACAACAACAACAATAACAAGCTGTTTATTTTACATAAATCATTTTTACAATAGTATTAATAAAAATAGTAATAATTAAAAATAATTTAATGCAACGAAAGAACTGTTAAGCTTAAAATGGATAATAATGATTTGTAAGAAATGTAAAGAGGAGACAACTTTTGCTTTTATTATTAAACAACTGCAAAAGCAAGTATGGAATAAAAAGCAAGACCACCAAAAAATATAAAAGAAACAATAAATAAATATAGCAAAATATATTTTTTGAAATAATAATTTAATAAAAAAAATTTTTTATGAATTTGCTTGAAGTTTTATGCAACATATATGTGGTGCATGTGTGTGTGTGTGTATATATATATATATATATATATATATATATATATATATATATATATATATATATATATATATATATATATATATATATATATATATATATATATATATATATATATATATATATATGTGTGTGTGTGTGTATATATATATATATATATATATATATATATATATATATATATATATATATATATATATATATATATATATATATATATATATATATATATACACACACACACACACATAAGCATATATACACACACACACACACACACACACACACACGCACACACACACACATACATATATATATATATGTATATATATGTGTATATATATATATATATATATATATATATATATATATATATATATATATATATATATATATATTTATATACACACATACATACACACATAGTTTTCATTGACAAAGTATTAGGTGATAAAAAAATTAACAAAAAAGTTTAATTATTTTGAATATATGTTGGTTATTACAAAAATATATTAAAGCTATTAATGTTTTGTCAAATAGTTATTTTCAATAACTGCATTAACGTGTCAAAGCATGCAATTGCTTTTTTTTATATTTTCTATCAAATCTGGATTATTATAGTTTCTATCAACTCTAGATTATTTTCTGTCAACTCTGGATTATTGAGACAGATCTTGATAATATTTTTCATAAGATTTTGCTTGTTATAATTTTTTTCCTAATCTCTTGCTTTACTTTTTTTTCTTCCAAATATTTTTGATGAGGTTAAGATCAGGTGAGTAGTCTGGCCATTATTCTTTTTCTGTTTTAAATTTACACTTTTTGCTGTGTGGTAAGTTGTACCATTTTGCATGAATTGATATCTTGGCATTTTTTGATCTGACATTTTGAGTAGCAACTGATTTTTCACAACTTTTTATGCTGGTCTTGTGTCATTGTCCCAGCCACTTTGTATACACATACTGCTCCTTGTCCACAAATGACAAACCAGATCATTACTGAGAGTAATGATCTGGTCTGTCAAATGACATACCAGGTCATGACTTTTTAACTGTTTGACATTACTGAGTTTGACTGTTTCCACAATGCAGTGAGAATTAAACTTTTTGTTTGATCAACTTTTTGCTGAGAATATTGTATATTCTGTAAAAAAACATCTGATTTCACTAAACTTTGATAAAATAGTATCATATCTCTGCTCAATTGCTGAAAATATTAAAAAAAAAAACTTTTAAATAAAAATAATTGCTTACTGATTATCACAGAAATCACAGAAGTTAATAAATAAAACACTTTTTTTTGTGATTTATATGATTTTAATAAATTTAAAACACAAGTTTTGAATTAAAATCACATTAAAACCTCAATCAAACTAACAAAGAAAAATAACTTTTTTTAAAAAAATAAATTTGTCCAAAAAGCAAAGAATTGGCTATGACTAGTGGTTGCTGATAGTCAGAATTGCCTATTGATTATGTTTTTATTAAACTTTACTAAGAATAGAAATAACTGACATATAACAAAAAAAATAACTTTATATTTATCATATTATAATTTAAGCTATTTATAATTTCTAAAAAAATGTGTGTTTCTAATGTGATGTCCAACTGTGGTATGTATGTATGTGTATATATGTGTATATATATATATATATATATATATATATATATATATATATATATATATATATATATATATATATATATATATATATATATTAAATATTTAAATGAAAAAAATACGACTTTTTTATGGCAAGTTGTTAAGTCGTATTTTTTTCATTTAAATATTTAATATATTTTGATCTATTTTATAAATATCGATCACTCTTAAACCGACAAAGAGCTGTATTAAATCCAACAGAATACAACAAAACTCAATAATAATAATAATAATATATATATATATATATATATATATATATATATATATATAAATATATATATATATATATATATATATATATATATATATATATATATATATATATATATATATATATATATTAGGGTGTGTCATACTTTATGGTTTTTTGAAAAAAAAGTTATTCCAAAAATCAAAAATCCATATATAGAAAACTTGTGTACAGTTATTTAAACATTGAAACCAAAAAAAAACTAAAAATAATTTATGTTAAGCTACCGGGAAGTGTGTTATAAAATAGCATATTTATAGTCAATTTTTTGTAATTAACTTTGACTCTAACCAGAGATACTGTTTTTTGTCCACCCATTTTTATACGCAAGTAATTGTTGGTACCCACTCACGTTGAATTCTATTTGATATCAAAACTATATAAAGTTACCAATTTATAAATTGTCAAACATATAATTTGTATGTAAAATGTTAAAATATTATAAAAAATTTTAAAAATTAAAAAATTTACGCAAAAAGTTTGCAAATTATGAACTTTGCTATTTAATCATGGCAGAGTCAATATCCTTAAGAACTAGAAAAGAAGCGGATCGAAGCTTTCGGAATATAAAAGTTGTGGAACAGATATTCTTGTATCGGAGTTACCAGCGCTAAGAGATCTTCTTAGATAAGGGTTTTTTTTGCAAGAAAGAAACAATAGAAATAAAAGAATTTATTTGATAAAATCACTAATGAATGATGTTTACTCAAAGTTGATTGGTAAATGGATCCATGCCAATGCTTTATTTGTATATCCAGTAACACATATTGAACATTATATTACTGCAACATTGGTGAATGAATGGAATGCAGCCAACCTGGTTGCTATGGGAAAAGCAAGTAGTCGAAGGTTCGTCTAAATGTTATCCTGCTACAACCAAAGAGGAACATTATATAGAGAACATTATGTCGAGAGCCAGGTGGTAGGTATCTTTTCCATTTCACAATTGAAAAAGTTCAAAAACATATGAAACACGCTTAAGTAATTGCTCAGAATATACACGAATTTTTGAAAAGTAATGGTGCCAATAAAAGCTTAACAGCGATCGGTGGTGATTCTACTAGTGTTAACACAGGTTGGTCAGGCGGAGCAATATATTGGTTTAAAGTAATGTTAGGAAAAAAGCTAAACTGGCTGGTTTGCGCATTCCATACTAATGAATTTTCTCTGTGTCATCTGATAACAACTCTTGATGGAGAGACTCTGAGCAGCATCAAATGGAAAGGTAGCATTGGAAAATTATTAAATGACGCAACTGCTCTGGAAATTAATCCATCCTTTGAAAAAAATTGATGTTGGAAATCCACTTATTACTCTAAAGGATGAAGTAATCAAAAATTTATTCTCCAATCAGTTTTATGGGTATAAAATAGTCTCTGCTATTAGAAGTGAAAATATACCCACAGACTTGGTTTTACTTGAAATTGGGCCAGTTAATCATTCCAGATGGTTGACAACAGCCAACAGAATTTGCAGAGTTTGGGTCTCAAAACATGAGTTGGAAGGCGAAAATTTAAAAAATTAATAATTGAGTTCATTGTTGGAGTTTACATGCCTATGTAGTTTAAAATTAAGGTTGATTAATGTTTACTGAAGATCCGAGACATATTCTTTACCAGCTTAGCCTTCTGAAGCATCAAACAAGTGAAGTAGTTGTTATGTAAAAAATATGAAGAAATTGTTATGTCAACAGTTTGACGTTCAGTGTGGTATGCTTTCTCTGAGTGCATCATACAGATCATGAGACTGTAGAGGAAAGAAAGAACAGTAGAGATTTAATTTTTAAAATCAGCGGTCCTGGTGATGAAAAACCTCAAACTGGTGATAAAAATCTGAAAGCTAGAATACAGTTAATCAACTGGAATATATCCTATGAGCTTATTCTTACTTGTGATCTGACAACAAAAGAAATAAAACAGATAATTTTTCAGCCTATGATTGTTCCAAATTGGCCTTGTCATTGACAGTCAATTATAAGACGAGTTAAACAGGTAACAGAAGCAGCAAGCAAAGTTTATTCTCAAGAAAAAGAGATCGTTTTATAAGAGGGCAGGACTTGTTGAGAGAATTGATATCTACTAATTGGTCAAAGAAAGATTTGATTTTAATGACAAAAAAAAAAAGAAATGTAAATTTTACTTTGTTAAAAAAAAATTATAAAAAAAATCTATTTTTATTAAATAAAAAACTAAATGATATAAAAATGATTATAAACAGAAACTATTGTAAACATTTTAATAATAATAATTTTGGTTAAATAAAATGGTTATAATAGTACATAAAATTGTTATTAAATGAACAAACAAAAATTAAAGATTGAAAAATTAAATCAAATGAAAAGATATAAGGATTTTAAGAAACTGAGGGTTTTTAATCTGAGGGTTACAAACTTCAGTAAGAACAAAATATATTTTTACATTTGATAAATATAAGATTATAAAAGATATATTTTTTTATCCTAAGCGATTATGAGATAAAAGTTTTTATCTCATAATCGTTTCATAACTGATTATTGTTCAAAAACAGCGTTTAAAGGATTTTTTATTGCATCACTTGCTGTTTGCATAGTCTAGAACAAGGGAGAATGAAGGGAGAATGAAAATTCGAACAAGAACAAGGGAGAATGAAAATTCGAATGAAGGAGTTTGACATAGTTATTGCATAAATTGCTACTGAATATTTTATTGATAAACTTTAAAATTGTTTACAATAAAAGTATACCGAAGTAAAGTATACTTTCCTTTTTATATGTTTATATTATAAATATAAAATGGAAAATAAAACCTATTTAATAATTTTAAAATAAATTATATAGGCTTATATTTTCAAAATATATTATAATCTATTTGAATTATTTCCATGTTTCTTTAATAACTTTAAATAGCTTTGATGATATTTTTAATAAGTGAGCTTTTTAAATAACTGACGTTTTAAATAAAAAGGGTTTTAAATAAAAAGTCATCAAATTGCAATTGTTTTTTTTTAAATTGTTTTTTTTTTTAAACAAACGTTTAAAGATTTTTTAAATGTACTTATACTTTTTTTTTTATATATAAACATGGTCATGTTTTCCTTTGTATATTTTGATAATATAATTACACTTTATAAATTCTATTAAAATTTTTTTATGTAAATTTTAATCAAATCAATTTTGTCTTAAAATGCAATAAATAAATTTATTATAACATCAAATGTCTTTGGCGAATAAAAAAAAAAACAATTTAAACTGAAAGCTTGCACAAAAAACTGCCTATCTGAGAAGCTCACTTGGCTTGCCATGTCTATTTTGCACAAATTTTTCTCAGCTTGTGTAAAATGGAGCTTGTGTCTTTTCACACTTATTCCTGCTATGGCTTGCATTGTATGTACAAAATGCATTATGACATGTAAAAAAAGTTTTCATTCTCCTATTGATATTTTTCTGGAAAGCTAACATAATGATAAATGTTGTACAGTTTCTTTATAAAATTGCAATAAATGCTTTTATAATAATATAAAAATCTTTTAAATCTTTTATATTATTTCCTTTTACATCCTATGAAGCTTCTTCAACAATTTGAATAAAAAATGGTTGAATTCTCAACCATCACCAAGTGCTATCTTAACAGTTCAGAAAATGTTTGTAACATATCAACTTTTTCTTTTTAATTTTTTTCTTAACTTTTTCTTTTTAATAATTTTTGTTGTAAATAAAAAAGTAGAAAAGTACTGAAAAGTAATTTAAAAAATGAAATAACCTTTTTTATCAAATAATTTATAAATTTTTTTTATTTATTTTAGAAATTAATTTTGAAAATAATATAGCAGTTATGAAATCAAAATTTATTAAAAACATGCTTTTCAATATTTGTAAGTGTCTGATACAAATCCCAAACAAATTTTCTCAGATTTTCTCAGAAAAATTTAAATTAAATATTATTAGAGATTTATCAGCTAGTTATAATTTATGTTCAAAATTCTTTCTAAAATTTGGTCTATCAGGATTTTGTAAATTTTGACAGTATGAAAAAATATAAACAATTTTATATTTTTTCTGTTTTTCCATTTTTTATGACGCCCTTTTTCTTATAGACAAGGTACAAAAACACATTGTAAACATAGTTGTGCCATCTACGAAAATTTGTTCTTGTGTTACTTGTCATTTAATTAAATCTCATCTTTTTACTGTTTCTAAGTGATCTGAAAAATCTTATTTGTCTAGATATTTGGGGCTTAACTATGCAAGAAATGTATTTTTATTTAATATATTTTTGGGCCTTTATTTAGTGCTTAACTATGTAAGAACTGAAGTTTCTTAAATTTGGAGCATTTTAAAGCTTGTTTCTTTAATTGTTCTTAATAAAATCAATTTTTAGTCTGGAGCTTTTTTTTTCTTTTATAGGCTGGAGCTTTTATTTTTTTTTATTTTAGAGCTGAAAGCGCTTTATAAAGATTTTTCTAGTAATGTTTTCTTTAAGTAAAAATGCATATTTGCATCGGTTTAAAGAGGTCAGTTCAAACTCCTTAATTGATTAATGCTTTCAAGGGCCAAATTTCTTGGTATCCAGTAATGGCCTATGAGAAAAATGGCTAAAGAGCTCTCAGTAGGTGAGCGTACCAACAGAAACATGATCAGAAAGGATTTTAAGGTAAAGTCAAGAGTTAGCATTAAGAAACACCTAGTTTACCCAAGTGTCAAACTATAAAAGTTTAAAAGATCAAAGAAACTTCTGAGCCTTCTGAAGAAGATACCAATGGCCATTTTATTCTTAGAAGAGAAATTGTTTATTGTTGATTCTGTGTTTAACAACAAAACCAATTGTTTTATTAATCATCAACCAGCAGTTAATATTTGCAGTTGTTAAATACATACATACATACATACATGCATACATACATACATACATACATACATACATACATACATACATACATACATACATACATACATACATACATACATACATAGACACACACACACACACACACACACACACACACACACACACACACACACACACACACACACATATATATATATACATACACATATATATATATATATATATATATATATATATATATATATATATATATATATATATATATATATATATAATTTTTTATATGTAATATTTTCTTATATGCACTTGCAGGTCATGCGATTATGTCAAAGATAGGATTATTATTGAAGAAGATATCACATCAATTTGGCATTGCTGTTCTAGTGAGTAAGTTTTACTTGATATCTGATCAAATGAAAAAATAAATCAAGGATTTTTGTAGTTAGCAATTATTATCTCGTATGTTAACAAAAGTGAAACATATTTGCCAACAATTTTGTTTTCTGTATTTGTTTACCATAAATTCAATTTACATGTAATATATATATATATATATATATATATATATATATATATATATATATATATATATATATATATATATATATATATATATATATATATATATATATATATATATATATATATATATCATTTAATTTCTGATATCTTTGATCCTTATGATCAGTATATGTATGATCCTGATGATCAGGTAAATTTATGAACCCAATCAGGGCTGTGGGGTACCAAGAAGCAGGTCTATGCAGAGGTAGAATAAGATATTAAACTAGATAATTGGACTCTAAGCTAGCCTCAGATTTAAGTCCTTTATGGAAAATGAATTAATTATTATTATTACTTTTTTTAGTTTATGACATTTAACTTAATGAATACATTAATTTAGTTTAAAAGTATATGGAAATATTATATAAAAATATTGATAAGTTAATTTTCTATTTTTAACATTAGTAAGTTACAAAGTTAATCAAAGCTCGGCATTCTCACCATAAACAGTGGTATAAATGATTGTACACCTGTTTAAGTTCCCTTGTAAATAGGGTTATGACTTAACATGGAATGGTGTCATAGATTTTGTGCCTAGGATAGATCAAGGCAGAGCAACTGTGGTGTGTCACTATTTTTTCATATGCAAAGTAAAATGCTTTAAGTGATTCAACCAGCACTTAATGTTCAATTTCTGATTCTGATTAGATGAGCATGATACATTTATTGAATGGTTAAAAGAAGTGCATATACCAGAAACAGATGAGCATAATACATTTATTGAATGGTTAAAAGAAGTGCATATACCATCAACACATTTAGTGGTAATTTACTTCTAGATGGACTAATGACTCACAAGAGGCAGTAATACTGATATTGTTGATTTAAAGCAATAAAGTCATTAAATGTGAGAATTTAGAAAAAAAAAATTTGCAAAAAACTTATGTATAAGAATGGAAAGTTTTTTTTTTTTTTTTTAATTCATATTTTTTTTTTTTTGTTCGCCCTTACCATTTTTTTAATGTACTAGGTTATTTCTTTTACCAGAAAAATAGTCAGCATGATTGCATCAGTCAGCAAGCATTTGCTATACTAGAAATGTTTAATTTTTTTACCTGAATTTTTTCACCATATCTTGATAACCAGCCACATCAGTTTCGATTTTATGAAGTACGCCATCTTTGAGGTTTGGCAAGTGTAAAGCACTATACAAGAGAATGAAAAGAGAAATGGTAAATGAGGTTAGATGAGTTTTTTTGAGGAGTCAGTTTTATTATTATTATTTTTTTTTTTTTTATTATTATTATTATTAAATTATCAAAAATCTTGGTAATCTAAAAATTTGCAAAAGTTGCAAATTGATCTTAATCTAAATATAAAACTTCAATTATGTGCTTAGTTACTGTTTAATGCGCTTAGTTACAATCGTTGTAACGAATGTAATAAGCTAAACTAGAATCTGCTAATGTGTAATTGGTTATATATGAAAAGTCTAATTTAATGTGCTTAGTGATGATTATTAGTTAACTGACGTCAAATTAAATTGTTTTAAATTTTTGATTTGCAGCCGTGTTGCAGTGGTAGCGCACTTGCCTCAGAAACGTAAGATCTGTGGTTCAAACCACACCTGTGGGCAAGTTTTGCGACATCAGTTGTGAAGGAAGCGTGAACTTCCTATAAATTGCTCTTCTGCGGTGCTCTGTGATAAGACCGTAAGGACTTCTTGGGGCACCTTAATCAACTTTAAAAAAAATTTGATATCACAAAACTCAAGTAATATATTTAATTTGAAATTATTATTTTAATTGTTGAAATTGTTAATTTTTTTCTTTTCCAAATTTTGATTTTATATCACTAAAGATTTTATATCACTAAATTTATTTAAAATATTGAATATTATATCTTATATAAAGGTCTACATGTCTATGCAGTAGCTTTTAGTATGAAAGCGTTTAAATATAATAATTTGACAGCTGAAACCAGCGGTATGAGTCGGGAGCCTTTCATAAGTACAAACATGAGTCGGGAGATTTCATAAGTACAAACTGGCATAAGTGCGAAGCGTTGCAAACACTGGCATAAGTGCGAATTAGCATATGTGTGAATTGGTATAATTGTGCTGAACAAATTTGCAAACATCGGCATAAGTGCAAATTGACATAAGTGCAAAGCAGTTACAAACATTGGCATAAGTGCGAATCGGCATAATTGCACCGAATAAAATTGCAAATATTAGCATAAGTGCAAGTTGGCATTTCGCACTTATGCAAATGTTTGCTAATTTGTTCAACGCACTTATGCAAATTCGAACTTATGCCAATGTTATGCCAGTTTTTGCAACTGCTTTACACTTATGCCAGTTCACACTTAAGTCAATATTTGCAAATTCTTTTGGCACGCTTATGCCAATTCGCACTTATGCCAGTTTTTGTAACTGCTTTGCACTTTTGCACAGTTCACATGCCAATGTTTGCAAATTTATTTGGTGCGCTTATGCCAAATTCTATTTATGCTAATTTTTGCAATGCTTCACACTTATGCCAGTTTGCAGTTATGCAAGTTCGTACTTACGCCAGTTTGCGCTTATGCGATTCGCACTTATTTATTCATTGAAGTGTTTAATCTGAAGTTTTTTTTTTTTTTTTGTAATTAGTTTTATTATGGGTCTAGACTTTCTAGATTTAACTGGGAGATCAATGCATTTTTAAGTGCTGATTAAGTTTCAGGAAAGTTGTTTCTTTTATTTGGATAACCCAAATAAAAGAAACAACTTTCCTGTTCAGTTTTTGGACAACTTTATTCCTAAAGTTATCTCACTTCATTGTTTAAATTTTAAAATTGGTTGTGTAATTATTTTATTTAGAAATTTATTAAAACTTGCAATCCAATGGTACTCAAATGAAAGTTGTGCTCTTCAAAATAACTTTATTGATGCTGAGATTTTAAAAGTTTTTTCTGGTGATAAACGGGTATTTATTTATTGAGTTCCATTGACTCTATTAGATTCTAATTGAAAATTTGTCAGGTAAAAAGTTTGATGGAGTTTCTATAATCGTCAACTATATGTTAATATATATAATAGCAATTAAAAGTTTGCTTTTTAAAATTGATAAACATCCTATTCAAGGAATGATAGGCGAAAAATGTTGCACAAATAATGTTATATTTTCTAATGCTTTAAAGTTATTGTCTTTGGATTTCGAAAATTCGTAGTTCAAAAGCACAAGTTGTATTTTTGTTGACTTAAGTTATTATTTGAACTTTTTGTTTATCATTTAATCACTTTTTAATTTATTTGAGCATTATATAACCAAATTATTAAGAATGCATTATTTAACCAAATTAGTAAGTAACTTAAATTGCATGATTTTTATAAATACTAATATTGTTCCAAAAATTGAATATAAAATTCCGAAAGTTTGAATTTTATATTCAAATTTTGGAAAACACAGTAGATCTAGGTTATGTTGTCTAGCCTCTCATAATTATTTAGAAAACATATATTTCTGTTAATATTTAGTGCAATGTAATGTGAACCTACAAATATCTTATGCTAAATGCTATTTCTTTGTGTAATTGTAGTGATGTTATTGTTTTAAAATTTTGTGTTGATAGACAGCTTAGCTTACCTTCTCATAGGTGTCAATTGTTAAAAATGAATATGGTTAGTTTTATTACGCTACCAAACTGCTATTAATCATAAAAGGCAAGACAACATTTGGTATAACGTTGGTGTCTATTATTTAAAATGATTATGGTTATTTTCATTACTGTATTATTGCTATTAATCATAAATGATTATGGCTTATTATTGGTATTAATAAAATTTGTTTAAATCCCTAAATCTTTAAAGTTGTTAATAATTTTGCTCTTTGAATAAGATTTTTTTTTAAAAAATTGATATTATATTAAAAATATTATAATAAATTAATTTTTGTAATCATGTTATTATTTAATCATTGTATCTGCAAAAGTTTTACTAACATTTCAAGTTATTATAATATGGTTTACTTTATATGGTTACAAGTTATTATGGTTTACTTTATAATAAGCTGTTCTTGGTTCCCCTGTTCTGTAGATGCCGGCTGTTAAAACTGGTTTTGAAAAGCATTTTCATAATATAAATTGTGATGACTTCAACATTAATTGCTTACTAAGATTAAAAAATGTTGTCAGGTTTTTTTTGTTTTTTAAAAATAACTTATTACAAAAATACACGTTTTCAAAGCTTAAAATTAAAAAAACAACTAATTAACAATAAAACTTAAGCTTCTATATAATTGATGAGAAATACCAGAATACTTGTAAGAGAATCACTAAAATAGATTACTACAATAGTCTATTGGAGGTGCCAATCTATGATGTAGATCAATCTGTTGTGTGTGTGCCGTGTTTAAAAGAAAATTTGTGTTATTAGTGTAAGTATATATATATATATATATATATATATATATATATATATATATATATATATATATATATATATATATATATATATATATATATATATATATATATATATATATATATATATGTATGTATATATATATATATATATATATATATATATATATATATATATATATATATATATATACATACATATATATATATATATGTGTGTGTGTGTGTGTGTGTGTGTGTGTGACCTTTTCGAGGTCGGTAGTAAAAACGTAAAAGCAAGGTTTGACCATAAAACATAGAAACGAGGTCGTTAATTTTTTGCCAACCTCAAACATATCTAAGTTGGCAGTTAGGTCGGCATTGCCGAATGCCGACTCTCATTCCGAGGGCTGTATATATGCATATATATAATATATACGTGTTTATTTTTATTTAATAAGTAAAGGTTAGGATTTTTTGAGGAATTCTTCACAATTTCGAGTGTTAACAATTTTTAGAAAGTAATGAAAAATTTATTATTTTTGTCTTAAAAAGTGCATATTGCCTGCTCTAATCCTAGATTTATCTATTGAATAATGCTTCTGTGGTTATTTTTATAGAGAAGCAGTCAACACAGTCTATTGTTTGTGATTATGCCCTGTTTTTTGATTTCAATAAAAAAATAAAGTTAGCTGTTACCTTATATTTAATTGCTTTAAATTATTTTTTTTAGTAAATAACTCTGTGTTGAATTACAAGCCAGATACAGTACCTTGTTATGGTCAATATAAACCATCTCTAGGTCAAACATGGCACTGTGTACCATCAATTAGGTTGATGTTGGATTTTACAAATGAAAAGAGTACACAAAGAGTATGTACTATTCAAAAGCATACCAGATTAGTGAGTTATTTTATGATTTTAATAATCTTATATTAAAATTTTTAAGTTTGAAGTTTTTATTTAATTATATAATATATCATTTTAATAAAATATTTTACAATAATATACTATATATATATATATATATATATATATATATATATATATATATATATATATATATATATATATATATATATATATATATATATATATATATATATATATATATATATATATATATATATATATATATATATATATATATATATATATATATATATATATATATATATATATATATATATATATATATATATATATATATATATATATATATATATATATATATATATATATATATATATATATATATATATATATATATAGGCGGTAGTGGTGTAGTGTTAGAGCGCTCGCTTCATATGCGAGAGGTTCCGAGTTCGATCCCGACAACGTCCCTGGTAATACCGCGCTCAACTTGTTTCTCTGCGCAGCGGCCTTGTTCGTCAAGGTTCGCATTTCAGAGTTATGAGTTGAGAGAGGGTTATAACCACAATAAATGTACTTCTACTGCTGTTGCTACAAATACTACTACAAGTACTATACCTTTTTATTTTTAGCCTGGCAATTTATCAACTTGTGTGTGCATTCAAATGGAAGGGTTGTGTACTTCTTCTGTGAAAATGACAACAAAATAGCGATTTGAAAGATTTGATACGAAGGAATGCTTTGATTTAATGTTTGAATTGACATAAAAATAATCGGTTTAAAATAAAAATCAATTGGATACGATCAATATATTTGAATGCTAGGCCTTTTTTATAATTTCGATTTTAAAATTGTTACAAACTTACGAGAGTTAAACCAGTTAAAACACTCATTGACCAATAAAAACTATTTTATTATTTATAATATTTCTATTTATTGAAGAATAAAGATTTTATTTTTGAAACTTTTTATTTTTCAAAAAGAGGAATAACGCCCATGGTGTTTGCTTTCGCCCCTATTTCCACCCCTCGTGCGTGCAGCTTCTGTTAAAGATTTATTGTTTAAAAACCCCTAATAAATATTAAAAACCAAAAAAATCCTGCACACACGAAGGGTGAGAGTAGATATTTAAATTTTGCTAAGTGTAGTTTAAAATGGCTTCCCAGCGAGTTTTTTCTAAGTTTCTAACATCGAATTAAGTAATAAAAGTCTAATCTATGAAATATAAAGTACATTTTTAACCAAATTAACCCTTTAACAGTCCATGCCGTAATATTACGCAAACTAAAAGTGGTTCCCAAATGTCCATGCTGTAATATTACGGTCTTATGCAATTCAGCTGGGATAGCTCAAATGGTTAAAGCGCTGCTAGAGAGTTAGAAGTAAAATATTATATACTTGATAGGGTAGATCACGATAAGGTAAAATATTATATATTTGATAAATTAAAACGATAAGGTAAAATATTATATATTTGATAAATTAAAATGAAAATTTTAATTTATCAAATATATAATATTTTACCTTATCGTGATCTATCCTATCAAGTATATAATATTTTAAAGTATTTAATGAATGAAAATTGAAATTGATAATAAAAAATTAATGCTCAGAGAAGGTGTGCGATATGTTTCAAACACAAAATCCGAAAAGAATTAGGATATGAATGTTTTTTTTTTTTTTTTTCCTCTGTTTACATAACATAAGAATTTTACAGATTTCTACTACATAGTATAAAATTTAACAAAATAAGTAAAACAGATAGGGACTCAAAGAAGATGAGGATGACAGAACGTCATCGCAATCTTTTCATAGAACCCCTTTAACAAGATTTAATTAAAATGTGATGTAGGGCATTGTGCAACTCCATGCTTATCCAATTATCATACAAAAAGTGAATATTAGTGAATACATTTTTAAAACTTTGTGTTTATATAGTATGATTTTATATTCTTGAACTTGAATAATAACATTTTGCAGCGATTAATAATGTTAAAAACAATAAAAATCTTTTATTAATCTATTATTAAAAAACATGGTGTTTTTAAAAACAAGGGACATTTAGAAACCACTTTTAAAAAAAAAGGCTGGACTAATAGCGACCGTAATTTAAATAAACACGGGACTGTTAAAAGGTTAAATAAATATTACCATTATTTTTAATTATGTTTACATATTATGCACAATGTTTTCAAATTAAAAACTTTACAAAAAACAATTTAGTTCAATTCAAAATACACCAAGATAGATGCGATTCATGTATTTTTATTTATCGTTCACACTAAATAATAAACGCAAGTAGAAATATGATGATCAGGGATATCCAAATCATGTTTCTGTGGGCATAAATCATCCACTGAATAGAGTTTTGATTTAAATTAAAAACACTTCGAAAATGCTGTCTTTTGCATACAAACTTGTACATTTTATTTTCTCCGAAAGATGCATTTTATTTGGTAGTTGATGGACATTTAACTTATTTCGAATATCCGACTCAGTAAAAAGATAAGGAGGAACACCATTAAAATTGTTGCAAAATGAAAGTTGATGTAAACAGTATTAACACTTTTTTAAAAAGTTCAAGACTAGTTCTTCGCCTACTTTTGAGAAGTAGAGATCATTAATAGTTCTAGTTGAACTTCGCATGCACAATTGATTATTGCAAACTACTTGTGACTTAAAAGACTGAATTGTTTTAATGAAATTAATGAAATAATTCATTTCAGTTCCAAATGTGGAGATAGAAAGACTTCCATTTTCGTCTTGAGAAACACAAAGCTTGCAAACGTCTAAGAGCCAAACACTTTTTGCTTTATGCCAAGCATTGGAATCAACAAACCCTATTATAGAAGCAATTTTTTTTTTGAGATCAGATTATTCCAAATTAATTAATATGTTTTGAGACAGCTTGCTTGAAGACAAGTTTAAATTACTATCGGAACGATATCCTGCATACTAGACAGTAAACGCTTTGTATTCTTGATAGATTTATCTTCATCTACGCTTGAATGATTATCAAATGACTCAGAAGAAGAAACTAAATTAATTTTTGGCTTCTTTTTAAAAAACTTTTTAAATTTTACTCATAAACTTCGTCTTCCGAAGTTTCAATTTGTATCAACATTGAAGTTTCTGGTTTGGCACTATTATTAAAAAAGAATGTTAGTAATCCAGCTGGATTTGGAAGCAACTCTAAGTATTTTCCACATGCTAAATAATAAATTACACTGCGATATGCGCGCAGCAATCTAAGGTTCCCATGCCGGAATTACAAGTACAGTACCATCCTTCAATTCCAGTTTCTTCATTTGTATTAGGTAAATATTGCACATACACCTTATACTTTGCAGAACCAGAATGGCGAGATCTGATAATAAGAGAAAGAACTTTAGATTTCCCTATCGATTGAACACTTTCACATTTAGCCAATTCATATTTTACCTTTATTGAAATGTTCAGAAATGTAGTTTAAACATTGTCTAAGTTCATATGAGCCTAAAAATGTTGTTTTTTATTATTTCTTTGAGCAATTTAGGAAAATCAAGAACAAGCGCTGCTTTAATGTTTACAAAAAAAACTCTTTTTAATTAGTTTTTCAGTTTTGACCAGCTTTTCCAAACTATTCTCTAAATGAAGCTTTACTTTCATGTTTTTAATAATTGTTTGTTTGTCTTCCTGGTCTGAGTTAAGACGCTTAAAAAATCTATAAAAAAAAAAAGGATGCTGCGATTCTGTAGTTGGTGAGTGTGTGAGGCAAGCATTTATTGCGCACTTTATCTAAGGCTCTAAACGATGTTTTTAGAAATGAATTTGTGACTTCGATTACCCAACGACACTTGGTAACCATTCTAGATTAATTAGCTTGTAAAGTTGTCAGTTGTTTTTGACCTTTTTCTATGCATGCCGGTATTTTCGGCTCTAAATTGTAAGTATTTCTTAAGTTATCAAGACAGTCTTGAAAGCCTCTATCAAGTAATATAATGTCACCAGGGTGAAGCAATTTTCTAAGTTTTTGGTTGCCTCGAAGTACATCATTCATGATTGAAACGTCATTTTTTGTTGCCTCATGAAGTTTAAATACATCTACAATTTTTCCATTTGATATCGAAAATAAAAAATGTTTAACCAAATGTTTTTTTTTCTGAATGCTGAATGTTTTTCGTTGAAAACATTTGTTGCTTTTTTTAATTTTTTTTAACCCTGTTAAACCTTTTCTTAATACGGAATCCTTAAAAATTATATATTTCTCATTTATTCATAGTTATCTTTCCTATTGTAATCTTGCATGGGCAAGTACCAATTATGGGAAGCTCAAAAAAATTTATAGCAAACAAAAACATGCTTGTAGAATTATTTTTGGCGTTAACAGAACTGTTAATGGTGAATCTCTTTTAAAGAAACTTAATGTGCTTAATATTTACAAACTTAATATATACCAAGTTATACTATTTACGTTTAAAACAAAACATGCGTTATCTCCTAATATATTTCAGTCTTACTTTACCGAAATATCTCATAAATATCCCACTAAATTTTCATCTGATAATTTTGTTATTCCAAGATCTTATTTAAAACTCAATTCATTTCAAATTCAATACCGGGGACCATTTATATGAAAAGGTTTTTTAAAAAATATAATTAAAAATAAAATTCCTCAAAGCATCTCCTTAGAACAATTCAAAAGAGAATCTAAACGTTTTCTATTAGAAAAAACTTTCGATTTTAAAGATTTCTTCTAAAATCACCTAAAATAACTAAACCTGAAAAAGTCATCACTACTCATTTACTATTGTCTTGTGTATCTTGTTTATTTCTTATTAAAATAAAAAATATATATACTATTAATTTTGAACAGACAAATAACATTTATTCGATTTATTACTTGTGTCTTATATTTGTCGAACTAATATTGTATTGTACTTCAATTTTTAACCTTTTAGTTTTTAACTTGTAACTTTGTGACGTTAATGTAAACGGGGCTTGGCGATAAGACAGTTTATGTCTTCTTCTTGCTCCGGCCAATTTTTATACATGAATGGTTTTTTCTCATTGTAAATTTAATTATACGGCAAAGAAAATATAATAATAATAAAAAAAAAAAATTTTTTTTTATAAAAGTATTTTTATCAAAAAAATTAAAAAAAGAAGCGTGACCAAAATTCATTTTGGTCACACTTCTCCTTTTTACTTTTTTATCATGCTTCTTTCAAACCCATCCTCTTCTCCATCGGAATTAGATTCACTTTAAACTGAAAGAAGTACTGTAGATAGCACAGCAGTATTTCTTATTTCTTGACTTTCTATTATATTCTTAGCATCGCTTTTATAAATTTTTTTCTGCTATTATTTTTAAGTCTTCTTTAGCTCGTAATATTTGGTTTTCTTCTAATAGTGTTCTATATCTAGCATCGACATAAACTGCAGCTAGAAATAATCATCAGAAAAGATTTTTCTACTTATTTTTGCATAGATTTTAAAATTTCTACTGCAAATAGTCCTTGATTCTTCTCTAGGTCAGACTTCAATTTCAAAAATTCCTTTACGAATTCACTTGGAGTAAAATCGATTAACTGTAACATCATGTGACTTTTTTAAAGATGACTAGATTTATCCCATATTTCAGGACGTAGAAAGAATATCTGATCAACTGCAGCAAATTGCTCACACTCGGCGCAAAAGTAATAATCTTTCAATTATCCGGAATGTAGAACCCCAGCGAGTCTCATTATCCAAAATTGAAACAACCTTGAATTGCTTTCTTGCTAAAAATATCGTATGTAAGTTTCTTAGCTTCTTTACAACATAACGGACTTTTGCCAAAAGTTGGGCAATGTATGTTTTTTTTAAACCATACGAATAGCTGCAAAGTGTGAATAACACAGCGCATCAGCCTAATATCATTATACAATTGTTGAAACCATTTTGGGTTGATAAAGGCTAGATTTTCTTCTTGAGCTCCTTCAC